TGGTCCCATTATGACACTCATGGATGCAACCCTGTTGCTCACAATCAGCTAATTCGATTGGTAATGTAATTCCAAATCTGTTCTCAGCTCAGCAGGCCACTCTTACCTGGTAAACCTATAATTCTACAGAAAACACTCTGCATAGATCAAACCTGTGATAATCCTATTAAAGCATTCACCGAAAAGCATACTGCATGAATAACAAACACTACCACCACCACCACACAGTGAAGTCATTTGGAAAAACAAATAATTTTATTATTTGACTTTTATTCAAGACAAGAGTGAGGGACTTAGAAGAGGCTGGAAATTTTGGAGACAAAGCATTCGAAAGAATCAATGCATACATTCTAATGGGGGCTTAAGTCTTTTTTGGAGCTAACTTGTAACACTTGAGAACCTGTCACCAGATGTCAGATCAACAGGTAATTTTCCCTCCTTAGGGCTTGTTTTGTGGCTCCTTGGTTGTTTTTTTCAGACAAGCGATTTGGTACCTGCAGGACCCTGCCTCTGTTTGCTGGGAAGCAGGAACAGAGAAGGGATGATGCCTTTCCGCCCTGCCTTTGCAGGCCTCCTGGACGCCTGGGTTGGAAAACAGGCATTGTTGTGGTCTGAGAGAATGATGACGTGCCAAAACACAAAACAAAAAAACTACACCAGATGCTATTCACAACCCTATGTACTAACTAGAAAGTGTTTAGAATCTGGTTAAGGAAATAAATTATGAAACAGGCCAAAGAACAGGGGAAGGCAACATGCAAGAAAGGGTCCATGGCTTCCTTTACCCTCCCTCTGGATGGTGGCAGACCCTAATACTCCCTCAACCGTCCCCTAATTTCTCACCCTCCTGATTCTGCCCCGCACACCCCAATGGCAGATCACTGGCCAGTCATTTCTCATTTCGAAACAAGGCCCCCTTTTTGTCCTCAAGCAGGGCTGGGGGGAGCACATCACACTCTTCCTGAAGCTTCTAAGGATATAAATTGTCTTTCCGGGGGATGAAATTTGAGGGCAGAGCTCAGTGGAGGAAGGACTTGGGGAAAAGGCCACACGTTGCCCATCCCAGTTGAAAATGGTTTCAGCCGATTACAGAACCATCCTGATCCGAGTCAACAGATAGCGAACACCATTCTAGCAGAGGTCATCCATTTTGTTTCTCAGGAAAGGAAGTCTTTGGCAAGGGGCTGATTGTGGAAGCTTATCTACCAAGTAAATGTGCTCTTCCCACCAGAATTATTCTTTCCCACACAGAAATATTGTAATCAATTGGTCAATTCACTAATATTAAAGACCATCGTCTTTCACATGTTTCCCCTTACTTAAGATCTCCATCATCTAAGCTAAGGGGTAAACTGAGGTACTAAGAGGCCCACCCATGAGCTAAGGCTTGGCCTTACAGCCATCTGGTATCACAATATGGTGTTTTTTTTAAAAAAAGGCATTTTCAGTAGCAGTCCCCATTGTTGAATATCTTTCTGGAAAAGACCAAACAACTTTTTGAAAGGATTTATCTGTAGATAACATTAAAACTTCGTTACGTATTTGAAAAGGCTTTCGATTGAGAAAAATGTCCCTTCCATGGGTGCAGCGGTGCTGCTCCAATTTATTTTAATTTCCAACTGACAGATGTCTGTCCTTGGTACTTTCTGGATCCACAAGCTTCTGAACATGATAGTTTGATCTATGAGGCTTGGTTAATTAACGTTGTGGGTTTGTTTCTATATTGTTTCCATATGTAGTTGTTTAAAGCCGCCCTGAGTTCTTGAGTGTTTCTTTCTTGTTTGAAAAAAGACAGGATGCAAAATGTTAAATTCAGAAGAGAAAAATTATGGAGAAGAACCAATCTACTCTGTAGTCTCTGGGAAGCCCTTCCAGCGGTCCGTAAGACTGACTGCATTGTGACTTAACCAATAGTAGCCACTCCACTAACAAAAATCAGTGTTTGCTTTTTTTCTTCATTATTTGCAGGGGGGGAAACACCGCCACCATCAGATAGAAGTTTACTGCATGATCATCACTGCTATGTTTGGAAATATGTCTGCAGCCTTCTTTATGTGTTTCCTACTTACCTTTTAAAGCACCACCAGCAGGAATACCTAAGAGGCTCTTGTATGAACCATCAAGTAGAAGAAGCCTTATCTTATTAAGGGGGAGGGAAAATCTCTCTTAAAAATGAAGAGTAAAAGTGAAGAGAAAATTAAAATAAAATTAAGAAGCTCTTATTACTTGGTGGAAATGATGAAATAGCAGAAATGGTAATTTAAAGATCTATCTTCAAGACCTGTTCCATCAGTTCGGACACCCGCAGGTGTGGAATGTTCCATGTAAACTGAGAAGTTTCTGGTGGCTGTTTCTATTTTACCCAAATGATACACACACACACCTACTTTACATCACTCATCTTACCCACTAGCCAACTTTCGAGCAACCCCGGCTTTAAGGGAAAGTGTAGCTCTGAGTCCCTTTTGTGTCCTGAGCTCACATGTAAGCATTTTCATCTTCTGCCTTCTACCGTGCTTTCAGTTGCCACAGGTGAGTATGGGAGTATTTCTCATACTTCATGATATGCACCATAGCGCCTGATTTGAGCATAAAGAAAGAGCTTATCCTGATGTGCTCCTTGTTCCTCAGAGCATTTCATTGGCTGTGAAGGATCATTTCAAGATGTAAATGCACCTCTTTCACTGCTTTATGGCCTGCACTAACAACAGGCACAACAGGCAGATACACACCACCGACTGAGAGGTGCCAGAGCTCCCTGGTGCAACCCCTGCTCTTCACCAAAAAGGCCCTGGATTCAATCACGGGCATTTCCAGTTCAAAGGATTAGGCAGGAGGTGCAGAAATTGGGAATATTTCCTTTGCTGAACTACAATTCCCAGTCTGCTGCTGGGAATAATCTATGAGTTGTAGTCCCCCCCAAAAGGGAACATTTCCCATTCTTGGGCAGGTGATGGGGAAGACGTATCTTCCCTGCAATCCTGGAGTTCTACTGGAAGTCAAAGCAATCATGGGCTAGTTTAACACATTTATTTATGTATATTTTATTTTATTGATTTATTTAAAATACCTATTTTGTTGTTTAGTTGTTAAGTCATGTCCGACTCTTTGTGACCCCATGGATCAGAGCACACCAGGCAGTCCTGCCTTCCACTGCCTCTCATCTCAGGGTCAAATTCATGTTGGTTGCTTCAATGGTATTGTCCAACCATCTCATCCTCTCTGGCTTTCTCTATAATCCAGCACATGTTAGCAATTTGGTCTCTAGTTCCTCTGCCCCTTCAAAATCCACATTTTACTTCTGGGAGTTCTTGGTCCACATACTGCTGAAGCCTACCTTGTAGGATTTTGTCCATAACCTTGCTAGTGTGTGAAATGAGTGCAATTGTACAGTAGTTGGAGCATTCTTCGGCACTGCCCTTCTTTGGGATTGGGATGTAGACTGATCTTTTCCAATCCTCTGTCCACTGCTCAGTTTTCCGAACTTGCTGGCATATTGAGTGTAGCACCTTAAGAGCGTAATCTTTTTTTTAAATAGTTCAACTGGAATGCCATCACCCCCACTGGTCTTGTTGTTAGCCATTCTAAGGCCCACTTCACTTCACTCTCCAGGATGTCTGGCTCAAGGTCAGCAACCACACTATCTGGGTTGTCCGGGACATCTAGATCTTTCTGGTATAATTCCTGTGTATTCTTGCCACCTCTTCTTGATGTCTTCTGCTTCTGTAAGCATTTTTGTCCTTTATCATGTCCATCTTTGCAAAATATGTTCCTTTAATATCTCCAGTTTTCTTGAACAGATCTCTGGTTTTTTCCTATTATTTTCCTCTATTTCTATGCACTTTTCATTTAAGGCCCTCTTGTCTCTCCTTGCTATTCTTTGGAAGTCCGCATCCAATTTTCTGTAACTTTCCCTATCTCCTTGCATTTTGTTTCCCTTCCCTTCTCTATTTGTAAGGCCACGCTGGACAGCACTTTGCTTTCTTGCATTTCCTTTTCTTTGGCACGGTTTTTGTTGCTGCCTCCTGTACAACGTTACGAGCCTCCATCCATAGTTCTTCAGGCACTCTGTCCACCAAATCTAGTTCCTTAAATCTGTTCTTCACTTCCACTGTGTATTCATAAGGGATTTGGTTTAGATTATACCTGACTAGCCCAGTGGGTTTTCCTACTTTCTTCAGTTTAAGCTTGAATTTTGCTATGAGAAGCTGATGATCAGAGCCACAATCAGCTTCAGGTCTTGTTTTTGCTGACTGTATAGAGCTTCTCCATCTTTGGCTGCAGAGAACATAATCAATCTGATTTTGGTATTGCACATCTGGTGATGTCCATATGTAGAGTCGCCTCTTGTGTTGTTGGAAAAGAGTGTTTGTGATGACCAGCTTGTTCTCTTGACAAAACTCTATTAGCCTTTTCCCTGCTTCCTTTTGAACTCCTAGGCTAAACTTACCTGTTGTCCCTTTTATCTCTTGACTCCCTACTTTAGCATTCTAGTCCCTTATAATGAGAACATCTTTATTTGGTGTCAGTTCTAGGTGTTGTAAGTCTTCATAGAATTGGTCAATTTCAGCCTTTTCAGCACTGGTGGTTGGTACATAAACTTGGATTACTGTGATGTTGAAAGGTCTGCCTTGGCTTCATATTGAAATCATTCTATCATTTTTGAGATTGTATCCCAGTACAGCTTTTCCCACTTTTGTTGATTATGAGGGCTACGTCATTTCTTCTACAGGATTCTTGCCCAAAATAGTAGATATAATACTTTTACCCCCACCTTTCTCCTTAAAAGGACCCAATGTGGCTTAAATAGCATAAAGGCAGCTTCCAAAGGGGAGAGGGATTTTGTTAAAGGTAGTTCTATCTCTTAGTTAAAGAAATCTTAACTGGTTGATTATGCAAGCTTTTGATAAAAGTATTATTTCATTAAGTATGCACTGAAACATATACACTTAAAGCGAATCATCCTGCAGAGGGAAAAAAGGCTTTCAGCGAATTGTTGCTGATAGTTCCCCGCTCAAGGTTTGTAAGTCCTTTTATTGAAACCAATTAAAAAGAACAGACTACAACCTCATTAATAAAATACATGCCTAAATGGACTAGAAAGTTTTAACTTGATTAATCTAACTATGAAAGGGTTAAGCACTGTAGCCTTGCCTACTGTTGTAGAAAAATAACAGAAATTGTATTTATTTTTTACAGTATTTCTTTTTAATTCTGGAACGGAACTTCAGAGGCTCTCTATGTCCCAGTTTGTAATCACACACACATACTTCATATCAGGCTAAAATCATTTGGGAACATCCCACTTTGAAGTACAGAGGGGTTAAGTACAAAACTAGTGGTAAGAGGACATAAAGCCATCCTAGATGTGGATCAGGCCAGAGGCCATTTAAGCTACCACGGCTAATTCTGACTAACAACAATTGTCCATCTAACTTTAGGTAAAGATCTCTCTCAGTCCTAAAACCCAAATCTAGAACCTTACACATGCAAAACCACAGAAGATCTGCTTGCATTTCACAGGAGTTCTTTCTATGGCCAATACACAGGTGGGATACAACCATGTCACAAACTTTTCCCGCATGGTTTTCCTCCTGTCTGCAAGACTGGAGTAGGATGATAAGAAGTTCCCCAAGTCCATAAGAGAACAGAGAACAAGACTTTCAGGAGCACAAGACACCTTTGGCAATAGTCATAAAGATAGGGCACCAAATGCACGAATGTAAAACATATGTAATACAAAGGGTGCAAAAAAGAAACAAAAAAAAGCCCCTATTCTACTAGGATGGTGTCAATGCTCTCTTGTGAGAGGTCAGGATCTGATACAGTTTGTGAGTTGACATGAGCCTGCGTGAGGGCGGCACTTTTCATCATATTCTGAGTCCAGCTGTCACCGTACGGCTGAAACTTGGAGGTCACTGCACTGCCAAGCCTCTGGCATCGACTGAACTTGAAGTGTTTGCCTTTGTGGGCGTACATGTGTTCGAGCAGCTGGCTTTTCCGCAGAAACTTGTGACCACAGACTGTGCAGCTCACCTTCCTTTTCCGCGAAAAGGAAAAGTTGCAGTTTAACTCCACAGGCTCAGAGTCTTTGGATACGAGAGAGAGCTGGCCGATGGGCAAGGGCTCCAGAGTGCTGCGACTGGGATGTTCAGACTGGCCCTCATTCTCTCTTCGAAGAAAAGGGCCAAGGCGGTGGCTTTCCACGGCCTGGTGGTTGTCATTAACAGCTTGGAGCTGGCTAAGGTCACTGCTTTCCAGGATTGAAGCTGGAACCCCAAAGGGCAGCGATCCAGATACGTGAGTGAACAGATGTTCACGTAGATTATTCCGGGATTCAAAATGCTCCCCGCAGTACTGACATAAATGGATTTTGGTTTTAGAAAAAGCTGGACCCCTGACATCGGGGGACGAAGACGTGTGACTCTGAGACACCACCGGTTCCGTGTCCACTTTCTCTTGTTTTATAGTCACAGATGGGCTGGTGGTCTCTTCTAATGGCTTCCCAGCTGTCTGGACAGAAGGATGAGAAACCTCCTGGTCCAAAGAGCCATCATCCAGCCCAATCGCTAGAGATAGCTGAAGCTGCGGGTGGTCACCCTGATTAGCAGTTCTGCTACCGAGGCTTGTCAAACTTTCTTTTGTCTGGAGGCTTTCTTTGACAGTCTTGTGTGTGGTGGAAATCTGAATCCCATACAGGTTTGAAGAAGGCACAGCCTCTGGAGAAAGCATCTGGTTCATTTCAATTGCCATGCGAGAAAGGTAGTCGGCGTGCAGGAAACGGATGCCTTCCTCCAACCGGGCATGGTTGACCATCTGTTTTGGGCCTTTTCCAGTATACATGATGTGCAGCAAATAGCTGAATATGTCTGGCTGGATGTCGGTTGGCTGAATCTTTATGCATTCGCTGCTTGAAACAAAGAGGAGAGTTAAGTAATTACATCAAAGGCCAACTTCACCTGCCTAAAGGTGATACGGAATGCAAGATTTGCAGCATAGGCACCAGCATTATCTTAGAGACAGATGGCACTTGTCAACAGAATCCAATATGAGGATTACAGTCCACTATCTTAGAGGGGTGACATTTATCCCATGTGGAAATTAGGTATACAAATTAAGATAGAGAATAAGTAGTGAAGTTGGAGGAAATAACAAAAACAATAACAAAATGTCACTGTAATAAATGTATCCTAGCAGATGATGAAAAAAGCAGACACTTTTATAATAGCCAATGCTATACATAGCATGGTCTCCGGCTCCCTCTTGAGGCTAGTTTTGATAATAACTTCATGGAAAAATATTTCCCTCTATGGCCAGTTCTTGTAACTTCATTGTTAAAAATAGATATTTGTGGTTTTTTTCTTTTAATATTTTTAATATTTTCAGATAAATGATTCAGCGGATACTGACCCCATGGATAAAGGAGTCCTCTATGGAATAGGTAGCATGATCATTCACAAAGCAATGTTGACAAATACCTTGGTATCTTTAGAAAAATTGGCTCATTAATCACAAGCCAGACTGTCATCTGAACTTGGCCAACTCATTAGCCTGTCCTATTTGCGTCACTATCACACTAACACTATCACACCTAAATTCTGGAATGGTTCTGCAACTTAAAAACAAAAGAAGTTACTTTTCATTTTAATTTTTTTTAAAAAGATGAACTGTACAAATGAACATATATGATATTTTAAGCCAATATAAAAAAGACAAGCATCCTGACATCCTTGCAAAGGCTTCCTTTTATCTGAGCTCCAGGTATTGATTTAGCCAAGACTTTGCTCTGCAAGCCATTAGGCTGAAGACTGATAACACTACTCAGATTTGCATTTCAGATTCTTCACTTCTCAGGTTTGCATTTCACAAGGAAGACAGACGTTGCGTCACACAGCAATGGTCCAGTGGGCATTCTGAACCATCCACCACCCCATCCATACCAGCAATCATGCCTGTGTTTGAAACCTTAAACGTTCCCGAAAGACCGTCATTTTCTCACCTTGTCTGATGAATAAATATCATCTTAAAATAGTTTGAAAAGGCAGCCAGGACTGCCCGGTGGGCTTTGAAATACACGTCTCCAATTGCAACGGTGCAGTCACAGAGAAAACCGAACTCCCGCTGCATGTTCAGCTGCTGCAAAAGAATCAAGCTGTGGCTGGCTGTATCCATGGTGCTTCTAGGAGATAAAAGAGAACTTCTTAAAGGAAAGACGTGTAAGAAAGGCCATGACAAGCAGAGGCAGAACACACGTCACCAATGCAGAAGCACATCCTTCCCCAAACTCAATCCCTAGGCCTTCCTGCTAAAGCTGGGAAGAATCCCTCTCTGAAACGTCAAAGACTTGCTTCCAGCCTGTCCAGCCAGCACTGAGCTGGAAGGATTTATGGTCTAACATGGTCCGCAGGGAGTTCCTAAGGAATATAAATGGTTAAGAGGAAAGCTAGAGCAATTCTCACAACATATTTATTTTAAAACATAATATTCTACAAAATGTATTTCATCTCCATTCATTTGGACTCTGTCTAGAACCCCCAATTCAATCTGCATATTAAATTGGGGTTTTGGAATGTATTCTGATTTAGACCAAAGGAATTATGTACCCCATGCATTTTGATTTATTCCCTAGATCTAAAGTGATTTATGAGCCTCTTGTTGACTTGTTGGAAAACAAAGAACAGATATATATGCCAGATTTCACACAACTTGCTTCAGGGAGCTGTACAGTAGGCACTATTAAATTTTAGTTATCTTAGTAACCCCATTTGATTTGTGAATTAAACAGGATGGATAAAAACCAATATTTTTTAAAAAATAAATTTACTTTAATCATGGTTAAAATTTTAAAAAATTATTTAAAAAAATTAAATTGTCAATAAAATCCATTTTAAAATCATGATTGCAATCATTTGATTTAAATCAAATCCATCCTGGTTACAAACACAATGTGTCTTTTCACCTCACCCGGTCACTTCACTCTGCTCAGGAACAGAATCTGGCCATTCCCCTTTGATCCAGATCATTCTAATCAGACCTGAATAGATTTGTTACAAATCAATCTAATCAGACTGATTTGGACACTAACATCAGTGCATAGTCCTATTATTTCTTATGGTCAGTGCTGTATGAGGTCACTATCCTAGCAAAAAACCTCTTGTATTAGTTAGTGGCTATGTACTTTCAGAGGGTGACACCCGACACATTTTCTGCAAGTGGTTGCACAAGAGGTTATACAAACAGTCCGTTGCACAACTGCCTGCTCAACAGTGCAATTCCGCACGACTACACTAGCTGGGATTTTCCCTCCATTCGCATTATGTTCGGTTTAGGCTTATCGGTTTAAATAAATAATGTTATCACCAAGTTCTGAACTTTGTATCTTGATTTTCTAAAATTCTTAACTAACTTCCCATTGAAAGTGTAAAAATGAGCCATAAATATTCTAAAATAAATATATTTATTTATGTTGGGTATTGGATGACCGGCTTTCATAAAACCTTATCTCAAGGAAGTTTACTGAATGAATAAAAATAATATATAAGACATATGCATGACATCCATGATATACACAGTAAATTTCAAAACAATAAAAGAATAAACCCATAAAACAGCAATAAATCATAAAAGCATAAAATGGCTGTGTTTGAAACAAGAATGGCAAACTTTTTTGGACTGGGGATTGTTTTGCAGTTACACTGAGATTCTATCCCACTGTTCTTTTACATTCATTTCAATTACCTTATAGCCATGTACTCAGCAAATGACCCTATGCACAGGCACAGCACTCATCAGTAGGGCTTCTCCACTTAAATGCAAATTTTAGCCTATCATGTGTACCCGCTGAAACTCCTAGCCAATCAGGGTTTCCATTTATTTCCATTTAAAACTACAGCCAATTAACCTGTAGTTTTAAATGAGGTTGTTGTATTATTCTGTAAAAATATATCAGACAAGAAACAAAACAAAGATTATCTATTTTGTTTTGTTTCTTGTCTGATCCATTTTTACCAACTAACATATATATTGGTTCTGTTTTCTTTGCACGGGTTATTAGGCAAGAAACAAAACAGAAACAAGGAGACCGTGGTGCACATGAAGTTCCAGCCAGTCATAAACCCTAATTGGCCTAATAGGCAAGAAACAAAACCAAGAAGAAACAAAAATAAAGAAGACAAAAACATTGTGGCATCTTTAAAGATGAACTGCTATATCTGTTGTGCACTTTCATGGACAAGTCCATTTCTTCAAATACAGTGGTGCCCCGCATAGCGATGATAATCCGTTCCGGATAAATCGTCACTATCCGGAAAAGTCGCTATATGGGGCAAAAAACCCCACAGGAACGCATTAAACTCTGTTTAATGCATTCCTATGGGGGATAAACTCACCGGTAAGCGGGAATCCTCCATAGGGCCGTCATTTTTGCCGCCTCGGTAAGCGAGGAATCGGCGCGAAAACGCTGCGGGCGACCATTTCCTTGATCTGGCAGCCATTTTGGAACCGCCAATCAGCTGTTCTAAAACATTGTAATGCGAAGATCAGTAAGCGAAATACATCGCTATGCGGATTCGTCGTTAAACGGTGCGCTCGTTAAGCGAGGCACCACTGTATAAGAGTGAGTTTACATGGCAAATATTTATATATTTGATGGCTGTTGTGGGTTTTCCAGGTTGTTTGGCTGTGTTCTTAAGTCTTTTCTTCCTAACATTTTGCCAGTCTCTGTGGCCGGCATCTTCAGAGGACAGGAGTTGGAACTCTGTCTGTACTCTATATATTTATTTGTCAGATAATTTGTCTTACAGAAGTGGACTTGTCCATGAAAGCTCACCTTAAAATACTGTACCACAGTTAATCTTTAAAGGTCCCAGAACATTTTTGTCTTCTTTATTTTTGTTTCTGCTTGGTTTTGTCTTCGGCCTAAGAGACCAATCAGGGTTTATGACTGGGTGTACAACAGTCTTTTTCTTTCTAAAATGAATTTATGGCTATTGGGGTGCATGTACCAGATGCCGTTCTGTTCCAGCCCCACATGTTTACTCAAGGGAAAGGTAGGGAAGGGACGTTGTTGAGCAGCTCTTGGATTACCTCCTCAGACAAAATCATTCCCTGCACCCGTAAACCAAAATATCGGGGAGCTGTTTAGAATGTAAGCGTTTCTCCCCCCCCCCAAAAAAAGACATGATAGTCTCCCTTCAAGAAATCTTCCTCTTAAAGAGGGGTGGACAACTTTCCTCGGCGTGGAGGCCCATTTCCTGCCCACCCACCCCCAGACTTTCTTTTGCTGAAGGACTACCCAAAAAGCAAACGCCCGCCGACCCACCACCCCCCAAAACCCAAACTGGAAACGGCTGGAGGTTCACTTCCAGGTGTTTCCAGATGTTAACGCGGGGGGGGGATGCCCTCAAGGCCCCCTTTTCAAAAGTCCAAGACCCACCACGTTTGGAGAGCAAAGCTGGGGGATGCAAAAACCAGCGGGGTGTGTGTGTGTGTGTGTGAGAGAGTCAGTCACTAATCCTGCCCACTCCCGGTCGGAAGCGAAACAGTACACGAAGCCTGAAGGGGCCACGCTCCCCCCCCAAAAAAACAACACACCTCGTAAGGAGGAATCACTGCCCACTCGCTCCCCTTCCCCTAGGCGCGCGAGGGCCGACACGGTCCCCCTCCGGTTGGAGAGGGGCCGCGCCCGGGCCCTGGGAGGGAGGGAGGGAGGGGACGGGCAGGTGGGGAAAGCAGCCCCGCTTCCCGCTCCTGGGGGCCAGAAGGGCTCGCAGGCAAACGAGCTGAGGGGAGGGAAGGGGAGGAGGCCTTTCGGCCGGCCGGCTGCCCACTGCCCGCCATGCAAGCCTGCAAAAAAAGAGAGAGAAAGAGCAGCCTTGGCGGGGAGGCCGAGGGCGGTCGGCAGAGAACCGGTTGGGGCCGTTCCCGAGCCGAGGGAGAGGCCGGCGGAGCCTTCCCCGCGTCTGCGGGGGCTGTGGGCGTTTCTGGCCCAGTTGCGGGGAAAGATAGGAAAAAAAAAAAAGAAGGAACCGTTTCCTGCGCGCCCTTTCCTGCTCCACCCGCTGGACTGCCTGCCCGCCCGCCTGCCCGCTGGCCCTTCTCAAGCCTCCCGAGCAGCGCTAAGGGGGAGAAGAGGGGGCCGCCTCCCTCCCTTCCCTTCTTGTCCCCAAGGTGAAGCCTCCGGCCACGGTTCGTAGGCCAAACGCGACCCTGGCCAGGCGTTCAGGCGCGCCTTACCGGAGAGGCCTCCTTCGGGGGAAAGGGACCGGCGGTAGCAGCAGTAGCGGCGGTTGGGACGGAGGGAAGGGCGAGCGCGCGCCCCCGCGGCTGGTGCGCGAGGCTGGGCCGCCGTGCACGCTCGCCTTCCCCAGCCCCTCAAAAAACTGTGTGTGTGTGTGAGGGGGGTACAGTACAGTATGTGCTTATGTGGGTCAGTGTTGTGCGTGTGGGAAGCTGCGAGGTCAGCTATGTGTGAGCACCAGCTCTTTTATACACCCTCCGCCTTCTCAGGGATGTTGTTTCAGCAGATTTTTGTTTATTCGTCCTCCTCATTATCCCACAGTTCTGCCCCGCCTTTCCTCAGGGGAGCCCATGGCAGCTTCCATGGGGTTTTTCTGTCTTTACAACAGCCCTGTGAGGTCGAGCAGGCCGGGTGATTGACCCAAGGTCAGCCAGGGAACCCTCTTTTATTATATGATGTCAGTAATAGGTAAATGAGAACTAACAAACAGAAATGTTGCTTAATGCTCATCCTAAAAAGACAACAGCTTTGCAGCTTGGGCGTCTCAGTGACCAATAGGTTGTTGCCCGTTAAAAGCCAAGGCATTGTTCGTTTCTTGAGGTAGTTGAAGTGGCCCATGCCTGAGTTATATCCATCTTGGATTACTGTGGCATGCTGTACATGGGAGGAAGACCACAGCTGTGATACAAGGACGTCTGCAAGTGGGATCTGAAGGCCTTAGGAATGGACCTCAACAGATAGGAAACCTTGACCTCTGAGCATTCAGCCTGGAGGGAGGCAGTGCATCACGGCGTCTCCCATTTTGAAGAGACATTTGTCCAGCAGGCTGAGGCAAAGAGGCAGTCCCGAAACCAGCAAAATCAGGAAGCTGGACAGGGGACAGACTGTATTTGTCTTCAGTGTGGAAGGGATGGTCACTCTCGAATTGGCCTTCTCAGCCACACTAGACGCTGTTCCAAGTCCTCCATATAGAGCACGTTACCATAGTCTCTCAAGACTGAAGGATGCCTACTCTGCTGTACAGTACATGGGGGCTACCTCTGACAAGCGTTCAGGAATTTCAACTGGTTCAAAACGTTACAGGCAGAGTGTTGATGAAGGAGAATAATAACCCCGTTGTTATAGCCCTCTCTGGTTACTGGCCCATTTCCAGACTCAGTTCAAATTGCTGGTTTTGACTTGTAAATCTCTAAGCAATGTTGGTCCAGGTTATCTCAAGGCTCCTATCTTCATGTATGAGCTAGAACAGATGTTAAGATCCTGAAGGGAATCCTTTCTCCTATCTTTATCACTCTTACAAATATATGGGTGAGGACAAGATAAGGCCTTCTTGGTGGATGCTCCTAGGTCGTGGAACTGGCAATGTCTTTTCTTTTCCGGCAATTTTAAGTGATCCAAACTCACTGCAGTGTTTTTAACATGCTTTTCTTTTCTTATTTAAAACTTTTTATTTGCTGTGTGTATTTCTTCTATTTTTTATTGTCTCTCTTTTTTAGTTCAATCGTCTTTTAAGATTGTATTTTCATAGCATTTAAAATATTTTTATTTATACTTTGGTCACTTCCTTTGCCATTTAGTAAGCTGCCTTGAATTCCCAGAAAGGCAAGATATAAAGGAAATAAACAAATGCTTTATTTTAAAATAATACCTCTCCCTCTCTCAGATTATACCTTGGGATGTAATACAGAGAAAACTGGATGTTTCCACAGAAATTCAAGTGCTAAAAATTATCCTGGCCTATACCCTTTCAAGCTTCAGATAGGGCACTGTTGAAAGTATGAAAAGTGTTCAAGAAGGGGTGGGGGAAAGAGGAAGGAAACTGGTTATATAGAAAATTACTACCTTAGAGAAAATGATTCCACATTATCTTCTTGACCAGGTTAGTTTCTATAGGAGGGGAATATTTTGGCACACAGCCTTGTAAATCCACCCACCACCTCTGTGCTGGCCAATGTCCTACAGTCTATGACATGTTTTATGTGTGTTAATGTCAAATTTGGCCTGAACCCACTACCAGTAGTAAGCAAAGGGAGAATGGGGTAAAGTTAAGCTGCACCTGGCACAGAGGAGGAAGGTTGCTTTGGTGCTTGAGTGAGCAGAATGAAAGAAAACCAAACCACAGAGAGTTGTGCACTTTAGATTCAGCCAGTGCTGAAGAAAACGTCTGGAGGAGAGATGGTGCATTACGGTTTCTTTTATCTGGAGCACCTCCTCTTGAGCTCAGAAAGCTTTGCAGGCTGTGCCATATACCCTGTGCTGCCGCATTCCCTGAGCATAGAGTTGTGGTTTTAAGCGGTGCAAGGAAGCGAGGGCCCCAGATACTGTCTTGTCACTTCCCTTGAGTAGAGGTTTGGCAAGCTCTAAACAAATACCTGTACCAGCATGCAATCAGACAGACAGCAGTGGGTTGGGGGCTATCCCGTGTTTTGCACCAAGTGTGATAGGTATGACTATATGCCTCTTGGGCAAAAGTCATGGGTGTGGCCTCGTTGCAAGGAGCTCCAAGAACTTAGGGAAAGGGTTTGCTCCCTTAAGGTCTTGGTTGTGGACCGGGAGAAGCAGAGACAGGGAGAGGGGGACCACGGCGAGACTTCCAGGGACCTTCAGGCAACCCACAGACAAGCAGCTCCACGGCTGCTGGGATTGGAAGTCTCCAGGCTCCATAGAAGAGCTGAGAGAAAAGATACTGGAAGTGGCGGAGATGGATGTACTAACAGAAGCACTAAATGAAAGGTCATCTTAAAAAGGACTCAAAAACTGGGACCGATTTTACACTGGACACGAACTATGGATTATTGGAAGGCATAGAGAAAAGAAGAATGTGAAGGTTCAATTAGGGAATGGAAAGATTAGTAACTATATTAGTAACCCTAACGCCGAGGGAGGCCCGGAAGGCCTTCTCGGTGGTGGCTCCTCGCCTTTGGAACAACCTACCTCCTGAGATTCGCTTGGCACCCTCGCTGGGTATCTTTAAAAATCAACTAAAAACATGGATGTTTCGGCAGGCCTTCCCTCCAGACAATTCCTGATGCCCTCTCCTCTCCCTCTCCTATTGTTTCCTCCCTCTCCTAAGGTTTCCTCTATTTAAAATTTTTCATACTATTTTATGCTGTTAGCCGCCTAGAGTGGTCTTAGCCGCCTAGTCTTAACCGACCAGATAGGCGGGATATAAAATAAATAAATAAATAAATAACTATAGCAATTCTGGTAAAACCTGTTAAGCTGGGTTTTTTGTTTTGTTTTTTGTTATCTTCTTTTAGTATAATTCTATAAGTAGATGTAAAAGTATTCCCTCACTTTCTGAAATTTCACCTTTTCCCTACCCATACCTATTCCCTCAGCCCTAAATCCCCTCACCCCACAATCCTATCCTTATTGAAAAGGAATAAAAATGTAAATAAATAAATAAATAAATAAATAAATAAAGGAACGGAGGAAGTTGCTGATCTCCTAAAATATACAATTTGTCCTTTAAAATGCCCAGTGCCAGAGGACTAGAGCAGTGGTTCTTAACCTTTGTTACTCAGATGTTTTTGAACTGCAACTCCCAGAAACCCCAGCCAGCACAGTTGGTGGTGAAGGCTTCTGGGAGTTGCAGTCCAAAACTCCTGGGTAACCCAAGGTTACCCAATGCCAGAGGACTAGAGGATAGCACATGTCACACCAATCTTTAAAAAGGGAAGGTGGGGGGAATCTGGGAAACTACAGTCCAGTTAGCCTAATGTCTGTTCCAGGTAAGATGGTGGAAAGCCTCATCCAAGATGAAATCTTAAAACATATTGAAGAACAAACCTTGCTGAGGGAAAACTAGCCTAGCTTCTGTAAGGGTAAGTCTTGCTTCACAAAGCTTCTGTAGGGGTAAGTCTTGCTTCACAAACCTTTTAGAATTCTTTGAAAAGGGCAAGAGGCATGTGGCTGCAGGCGAACCAGCAGATAGTGTCTTATCTGGATTTTGAGAAGGCATTTGACACAGTCCCTCACCAAAGGCTGCTAAGAAAACTCCATAGTCAGGGGATAAAAAGGCCGGTCCTCTTATGGACTGAGAATTGGTTGAGAACCAGGAAGCAGAGAGTGGGTGTCAATGGGCAATTTTCCCAGTGGAGAGAGGTGAAAAGCGGTATGCCTCAGGGATCTGTCCTGGGATCTGTATGCCCCAGGGATCTGTCCTGGAGACACGGATAAGCAGTGAGGTGGCCAAGTTTGCAAATGACACGAAACTTCCAGGTGGTGAAGACTTAAAGGGATTGTGAAGAACTCCCAAAGGATGTCTCCAAACTGGGAGAATGAGCAGCAAAATGGCAAATGTGTTTCAGTATAAGCAAATGTAATGAACACTGGGGCAAAAATATCAAAACTTTAGTTCTCAGCTAATGAACACTGGGGCAAAAAATCAAAACTTTAGTTGTCAGCTAATGGGTTCTGAGCTGTCCATAATAGATCAGGAAAGAGAGCTTGGTATGTTGGTGGACAGTTTGATTAACATGTCAACCCAATGTGTAGCGGCAGTGAAAAAGGCCAACTCCATGCCAGGTATCATTAAAAGGGATTGAAAATAAAACAAGTCAACATTGTAATGCTATTGTCGCTAGTAATGCTGCACTTGGAGTTCTGGTTGCCGCACCTCAAAAAGGACGTGGTGAAACTGGAAAAGGTTTAGAAGAGAGACTAAAATGATGACTGGGCTGGGGTGCCTCTCCCGATGAAAGGGCTGGGGTGTCTCTCTTGATGAAAGGGCTGGGGTGCCTCTCTTGATGAAAGGCTACAGCGTTTGGGGCTCTTTAGAGAAAAGGCGCTGGGGTGGGTATATGATTGAGACGTATAAAATTATGCAAGGGGTGTATAAAATGGATAGAGGGAAGCTCTTTTCCCTCTCACACAATACCAGAACCAGGGAGCATCCACTCGAATTGTGTGTTGGGTGAGTGAAAACAGACCAAAGAAAATATTTCTCTTTCCCCAGCATGTTGTTAGTCTATGGAACTCCTTGCCACAGGACATGGTGCTGGCATCTGGCCTAGATGCCTTTAAAAGGTGATTCCTGGAAGGAAAGTCCATCACATTTTACACGCCATGATGGGGGTGTAGAATCCCCAGGTTTAGAAGGAAGGTCCCTCAAAATGCCAGAGGCAGACGAGGGGTATCAGGAGACAGGGATCTCATCGTTTCGTGTGCTCCCAGACGCATCTGGTGGGGCCACAGTGTGATACAGTGAGCTGGACCAGATGGGCCCTTGGCCTGATCCAGCAGGGCTCTTCTTATGTTCTTAATTGGGGCCAGCCTGGCCTCCTCTGGGAGGGAGTTCCAGAGTCTCGGAGCAGCAACAGAGAAAGCCGTTTCCCATCTCCTCACCAAACGCACCTGTGAGTGGTGGGAA